AGACATTGCTACCTTGGGGGTAACTGTGGGCTTCCCAGAGGCCCTCCCCTAGGGAGCCCCCAACTGGGGCCGTGCAGCAGAGTCACATGGGGGGCCCTCACTGCGGGAGTCTGAGCTCTGCTCCCTGCCTCCTCCCAGATAAAGGCCGAGGCACAAAAACCAACCCCTGCCTACTCCTGCCATGGGGCCCTGGGCACTCTGTGACTCAGTTTCCCCCGTCACAGGAACAGAGTGTTGCCCACGACTCCCTAGTTTCTGTGAGGGGCTTCATGGTACAGGGTGTGACCATGCCCCCATCGGAGACCCCTCCAACTCTTGCCCCAGCCAGGAGTAGCCCCCCTGTCCCCAGCCCAAGCCGGGCCCGCCCTGGGAAGGCCCCTCCCCTCTCTGGCCTCAACGCCCTACTCTGAAAAGGGGTCTGGGGGTAGCTGAGGTGCTGTCTGTGGGAAGAGCCAAGCCAGTTCCTGTGCATCAGGGGCGGGGCTGGAAGAGGAGGCCTGGGCAGGGCAGACGGGCCCGCAGGGGTGAGGGGGCCCCCGCCATGGAAGTGACTGGGGTCTGCTCTGCGTGTCAGTCCCCCACTCCCTGCTGGGCAACCCAGCTATGACATTTTCCCAGGCCCGGGCCGGGACCCCACAGCCTACACAGGTCGGGGTGGGGGTTGGTCTTTAGGCCTGGTCGGGCTGTCCTCATCACTCGGGGCCAGGGCTGGGCTCCCTCTCTGGGCCCCAGGGAACAGGGCGGCCCCCTGTTCTGAGATGCCCAGAAAATCCCCCAAGAGACGTTGTGTCCTCTTCCCGAGTCCCTCCCTGTCCCTCCCCTGCTCAGCCAGTCCGGGTAGGGCAGGAGGTGCCTGGTGTGTGCCCGCTGGCAGTGGCTCCACCACTCACGTGACCTAATTTAATCCTTCCACCCCGGGCAGGGCAGGGGCAGCCCCTGGGGTCCCACAAGTACAAAACCAGTCAGGTTCAGGCAGGTCTGTCTCCCTGGACCAGTGGACCAGCTACCAACTCTGGGCCGGGTGCTAGCCCCCTTGACAGGTGAGAAGACTGAGTCCTGGAGTGGCCTTGAGCCCTGGTGTCATTCATTCATTCAACAAATCCTCAGCAGGTTCCTGCTGTGTGCCAGGTACTGTTCTAGGCGCTGAGAACGGTGTGGCAGAAAGATGGAGGAGCCTGGACCTCCGGAGGATCCATCACAGAGAGGAAGCCCAAACAAGCGTCTAAACACAGGTGAGTTCCGAGTGTTGGAAATAAACCAGGATGGCCTTGTGCTCAAGCCTGTCATCCCAGCACTTTGGGACGCCAAGGCAGGAGGATTGCTTGAGGCCAGGAGTTCAACACCAGCCTGGGCAACATGGCAAAACCCTGTTTCTACAAAAAAAAAATTTTAATTAGCTAGGCGTGGCCGGGCGCGGTGGCTCACAGCTGTAATCCCAGCACTTTGGGAGGTCGAGGTGAGCGGATCACAAGGTCGGGAGATCGAGACCATCCTGGCTAACATGGTGAAACCCCGTCTCTAGTAGAAATAGAAAAAAAAATTAGCCGGGTGTGGCAGTGGGCACCTGTAGTCCCAGCTACTCGGGAGGCTGAGGCAGGAGAATGGCGTGAACCTGAGAGGCGGAGCTTGCAGTGAGCTGAGATTGCGCCACTGCACTCCAGCCTGGGCGACAGAGCGAGACTCCATCTCAAAAAAAGAAAAAAGAAAAAAAAAAAAAGCTGGGCATTGTGGTGTGGGCTGGGGGTCCCAGCTACTTGGGAGGCTGAAGTGGGAGGATCACTTGAGCCCAGGAGATCAAGGCTGCAGGGAGCCATAATCGCACCACTGCACTCCGGTCTGGGCAACAAAGTGAGACCCTGCCTCTAAAAAGAAATAAATAAATCAGGGTGGGGGCAGGGAGCCTCTCTGAAGAGGGCACAGTTAAGCAGAGATAGCAGGATGCCCGCCGTGTGGAGCGCAGGGGTCCCAGCAGCAGGACCAGCAAATGCAAATGGCCGTGGCCAAGGCCGGGAAGCCGGAGTGGAGGGGGTGAGGATGACAGGGGGTGACGCTGGAGGAACTCCTGGGAAGCAGCCCAAGCCTGTCCCGTTTTCCCAAAGGGTGAACAGCTGCCCCCATCCTCCCACAGACCAGTGCCCTGTAATGGCTGGGCTGGCCCCCTGTGCCCAGCCTGGAGGGGCCACTCAAGTCCAAGTCCGAATTCCAAGCATCCCAGTGGAGACCTTGCTTGGCCCAGCCTTGCCTCCCTCCTTGTCCCTCCTGCTGCAGCCACACGGGGCCAGTGTCAGCTCCCCACCCTAGAGCTCACCAGAAGGACCACACTGGTCCCTGAGCCCAGAACACTCCTCAAGCCCTTGCTCCCCAGACCTGAGGCTGCAGTATTGAGACCAGCACAGATACAGGGGCTGCCGGGAGTGCGGGTCAGGGAACAGTTCCTCCTCTTTTCTGCGGCCCCACCCACCCCCATATCTATTCAGGAAGACTGGCTGTTCCTGGCCACGTCTGCAGAGAGAAAGCCACTGATGTGCACGGAGCGCTTGCCACGTGTACATGCATGAGACGATGTCCCGGAGCCTCTGGCAGGTGTGGGTGACGTCCAGCCAGGCCACTGGTGAGCTGTGTGCCTCTGCCCTCCCTGAAAGTTGTAGGGCGTCGTCTAGGGTAGGTGGGGCCCGGGCTGAAACCTTTCCACATTGGGGTTGGGGCAGCCTCTGCAGGAACCGGGTGGTGGCACAGCCAGCCCCACCTGTGCCCGAGTGGCTGCTCCAGGGTCCCACGCCCATCCTCACAGCCTCCTGCAGCACGGACATCACAGGGCCTGGCTAACGCCCATGGCCCCAGGGCTGCATTCCTGCCTGTCTCACCATGATGTCACCGGGGTCTGCAGGTGCTGGGCCCCTGGGGGACAGCAAGGACATCCCACAGCGCTGGCTTAGTGCCTGGGGGACCTGACCACTTGTTGCTGGGGCTCTGATTGCTGAGCACCAACTGTGTACCCAGCCTGGAGCCTACCTGGTACCCCAAGGCTGCTTCTGAGGTTCCCAGATGCAAGGGGCTGATGGTGCGGGCAGAAGCTTCCTGGCCCTGAGGTGGGACACCCCAGGGTGTGAGTCCACAGCAGGACCGAGCCCCAGGTGCCCACGCCCCTGACTTGCTGGACAACACGCCCTTCCTGTTCCGGTCTCAAAAATGTTACGCAGCCACACGCCCCAGCCCCACCTCGCTTGCTGTGTGACGTGAGGCCATAGCCCTCTCCCAGCCTCATTTTCCCTACCTGGAGAACGGAGCTATTCCGGGTTCCCGGCTGCCCCTCACTGCTAAGTGGCTCTCTGCCTCCCCCTGGTGGTGAAGAGGCCACACTGCCGTGGGTCCGGCCTTGGGACGCGAGCAGGGGGCTGAGGTCCCAGGGGGACCCACAGTCTCAGCTCCAGGACCCGGTCCAGACCGCCCTCCATGGTGTCATGCTCCTAACACAGCAGAGGCCCTGGGGCTTCTGCTCAGAACCACCGGAGGCGCCCAGTGCCGGAGGAACGAGGCCACGTCGCTGCACCTGGAGAGTCGCCGCCAGCCCAGGCCCTGATGGAGCCCCTCTCCCTCCATCACCCACCCTGCCCCACCACACATCTTCAAGCTCGCAGATCATTGCCTGTGCTGTTCCTTCAACAGGGCACACCCTGCCCATCCGCCGAGGGACGCCTACTCCTCAATACCCAGGTGAGACCCCCCTGCAGAAGTCTCCGGGGGGCTCCAGGGTCCCCCTGCTGCCGGCTGCCGCCTCCCGGTCCTTGGAAGGCACAGGCGTTTCCACCAACACACTTGATCCCAGTGGCCTGACGCCAAGAGAGGCCTCGGGGCCAGGCAGAGCACGGGCCTCACTCCCCACTCACTGCTGTGTGCAGGTGACCCATGGCCTCACCTGGGGGAACCCCTGTCCCTCCATGGGGGCCCTGAGTAGCCGACGGGAGCAGGGGGTACAGAGGGAGGCAGCAGGGGTCTCACCATCAGCAGAGGGCAAGAGAGCACCTCTGTGCTCCCCTACCCTCATCCCTGCCCCAGGCACACTGGTGGGCCCTTCCAGTCCTCACGTGGCCCCCAGGCAGCCCATATCCACCAAAGGCTCAGAGAGGGCAGTGCCCTAGCCCGAGGCCAAACAGCTGCCAGGAGCAGAGCTGTGACTGCAGAGACGGTGCTCCATCCGTGCCCCCCAACCCACCCTCCCTTCCACGCCCCACACCCAGCTCACGTTCCAGGAGACCTGAGACCCTCAAAGGCACAGACAGAAGGCCACGGAACGCCAGAGGCCTGCCCAGCACAAGCTCCCTAGGGCCCATGTGCACACGGCAGGGGCTCCAGGCTCTGAACCTGCTCTGGCCCTGCTGGGACCCATGGGGGTCTCGACCCCACCAGCCACCAGGTAGAGAGCACTGGTGCTTTGCCACGGCTGAGGGTTCCCCAGGGCCGCTGCAGAGGCTCCCACAGCAGCTGAAATAGCGCAGTGACAAGCAGCTGAAGCCGGCCCCTCCCCAACAGATGGGGAGACTGAGGCTTGCAGGGAAGCTGCACTCCTGACTCAAGGCTCCTCCCATGACATCCACTCAGTGGGAGTCAGAAAGGATGGGGCGCACCACGTCCTGCCCCAGCCACCAGGAAGTCTCCCTGACCACGGGCCACCACTCACAATCCCCCATGCCAGGCCCCAGTCCTGGGAGACCGAGGTCACACCTCTCAGGCCACGGATACATGGCGACCCCAGCACCCAAGAGTTCCCAGGCTCCAGTCTGCACTGACGCCTCCTCTGAGGCTCCCACCAGCTCATCTGTGCCAGGAAACTGTGAGAGGGTCCACCTTCGAGGGCCAGGCCCCGAGACAGTCAGCTCCTGCCCGAAGCCACAGAGCACGTCCGTGCTGCAGGCAGAACTGGGAGGCAGCCGAGACCCCAGGCAGGTGCGGGACCGCCCAGGGGCACCGAGGCAAACGCAAGGACGCGCAGGAGGCCGGGGCCGTGTGGTCCGTTTCTTTATTGAGGCCACAGACGGTAGCGCAGGTCCCTGCTGTCCACATGCCCCTTGTAGGGACAGGAGGCCCTTCCTGAGTCCAAGTCCGAATGCCGGGTCCGGGCCGAGCCCACGGCCCCACTGGCCGCTACTGGGAGGTGCTGCTTTTGCTTTTGCTTTTTGGTGACCAGATCTTGGATAAGCGGAACTTGGACTTCTTCCTCTGGAGGCCTAGGGCACAGGTGGACAGTGAGGTCATGCTCATCGCCACATGGCCGCAGCCCACACAAATCCCCCTGCCAGAAACATCCTTCCCTTCCACTGGCCACAGTCCGCCCTGGGCCTCCGAGCCCGCAGGAAGCCCTGTGCCCTCCCATGTGAGAACCCGCCCCGACTGGGTGCCCTGAGGGCTGGTCCCCACCATGACCACATGGTCACCAGCCGCCCCTGGCTCTCTTAGTGGCGGGAGGGAGCTCTCACCCTCAGGGTGAACCTGCCTGTCCTGTCACCAAGGCTGAGGGGGGCCCCGACACCTGCCCCCCACCCCAAGCTGGAGGCCCGGCCCACCCAGCCAGCCAGCCCAGCCCCCAACATCCCCGGCCCAGTCACCCAGCTTCTCAATCATGTCCCGCAGCATCTGATCCTCCTCTTGTTCCCTGAAACGGGACCAGGGTGGCCGTGAGTGACAACAGCAATAGCAACGTGCTCTGGAGGGGCCACCGGACAGTCTCCAGCCAGCCTCACCCCAGTGAGTCTCCAGCAGCCGTACCCCAGCCCCGAGCTCCACCTGGACCCATGCCACCTGCCCCTTCCTGCTGACAGGCCTCACGTCGAGACCTTGCTCCCAACAATGCCAGGTCCCTGTCCTCTCCAGGGCCAGCCCCTCAACAGTGACCTGGACAGAAGGCCCGGGCCGACCACACCAGGGACATGGACAGGAGGGCCTGGGTCAACCACACAGGTGACCTGGTACAGGAGGGCCCTGGGAAAACCACACCAGTGACCTGGACAGGAGGCCTCGGCCGACCACACAGGTGACCTGGACAGGAGGCCTCGGCCGACCACATCAGTGACCTGGACAGGAGGCCCAGGCCAACCACACAAGTGACTTGGTACAGGAGGCCCGGGCCGATCACACAGGTGACCTGGACAGGAGGCCTCGGCCGACCACACAGGTGACCTGGACAGGAGGCCCGGGCCAACCACACAGGTGACCTGGTACAGGAGGCCTTGGCCGACCACACAGGTGACCTGGACAGGAGGCCTGGGCCAACCCATGCCAAGGCCCCTTCACGCTCCCAGAAGGTCTCACAGAGGTGGACTTCAGCTGCCGACCCTGCGTGCCATGTGCTGGACCCCTCATGAGATGAGATAGGAAAGCTGTCGGGGATGGTCACACAGTCCGTGCAGGAGCCAGGAGACGCATGTGGCCTTGGAAGTTCAAGTTAAAAACTAAGGCTTTGGCCGGGCGCAGTGGCGCACGCCTGTAATCCCAGCACTTTGGGAGACTGAGGCAGGTGGATCACGAGGTCAGGAGATCGAGACCATCCTGGCTAACACAGTGAAACCCCGTCTCTACTAAAAATACAAAAAAATTAGCTGGGCGTGGTGGCGGGCGCTTGTAGTCCCAGCTACTCGAGAGGCTGTGGCAGGAGAATGGCGTGAACCTGGGAGGCAGAGCTTGCAGTTAGCTGAGATTGCGCCCTGCGCTCCAGCCTGGGCAAAAGAGTGAGACTCCTCTCAAAAAAAAAAAAAAAAAACCCTAAGACTTTATGGCCAGTTACAGTGGCTCACGCCTGTAATTCCAGCACTTTGGGAGGCCAAGGCAGGCAGATCACCTGAGGTCAGGAGTTCGAGACCAGCCTGGCCAACACGGTGAAAACCATACAAAAAATTAACCAGGCATGGTGGTGCGAGCCTATAACCTCAGCTACTCGGGAGGCGGAGGCAGGAGAATCGCTTGAACTCGGCAGATGGAGGTTGCACTGAGCCGAGATCACACCACTACACTCCAGCCTGGGCAACAGGAGCGAAACTCCGTCTCAAAAAACCAAAAACAAAAAAAATTAGCCGGGCATGGTGGTGTGGGCCTGTAATCCCAGCTACTTGAGAAGCCGAGGCAAGAGAATCATTCGAACCTGGAAGGTGGAGGTTGCAGTAAGTCAAGATCGCACCACTACACTCCAGCCTGGGGGACAGAGCAAGAGTCCACGTCAAAAAAAAAAAAAAAGGACTTTTGAAAAGTTCCCAATGGCCACATGTGGCCCCTGGCTGCTGTACCAGTCAGCACAGACGATAACCGCCTGGACAGAAAGTTCTACAGGGCCGGCTGACCCTGAGGGCTGGGAACATGGACCAGGTGACCAGTCCTGGCCTGGCTGGGAGGGGACCCTGGCGCCTGACCCTCACCGGAGCCGGTCCTCATCCAGTGAGTCCACGATATCACTGCGGTCATTCACGGTGCTCACGTACCGCTCCAGCAGCTCCTGCTCCTGCTGCCGCTCCTGTGGGGACTTCAGAGCCTCTGTGGGGACGGCTCTGTCAGCAGGAGCCCCCCCGCCCCGCTGCCACTGCCATGACCCCACAGGACACAATGTCCCTGCCACCCAAGCGCCAGGCTCCTCTTTTGGAGGAGGAAGGTGTGGTCTTGGGGACACCTGGAGCAGAATGAATGAGTGAATGAATGAGTGAATGAGTGAATGAATGAGTGAATGAGTGAATGAATGAGTGAATGAGTGAATGAATGAATGAGTGTATGAGTGAATGAGTGAGTGTATGAGTGAGTGAATGAGTGAATGAGTGAGCAAGTGAATGAGTGAATGAATGAGTGAATGAGTGAATGAATGAGAGTGAATGAGTGAATGAATGAATTAGTGAATGATGAATGAGTGTATGAGTGAATGAGTGAATGAACGGATGAGTGAATGAACAGATGAGTGAATGAACAGATGAGTGAATGAACGGATGAGTGAGTGATGAATGAATGAGTGAATGAGTGAATGAATGAGTGAATGAATCAGTGAGTGAATGAATGAGTGAATGAGTGAATGAGTGAATGAATTAGTGAATGATGAATGAGTGTATGAGTGAATGAGTGAAGGAGTGAATGAGTGAAGGAGTGAATGAACGGATGAGTGAATGGATGAGTGAGTGAATGAACGGATGAGTGAGTGAATGAACGGATGAGTGAGTGAATGAACGGATGAATGAGTGATGAATGAATGAGTGAATGAATGAGTGAATGAATCAGTGAGTGAATGAATGAGTGAAAGAGTGAATGAATGAGTGAAAGAGTGAATGAATGAGTGAAAGAGTGAATGAATGAGTGAAAGAGTGAATGAATGAGTGAATGAGTGAGTGAAGAAAGGAACCGCCATGTCAGAGCCCGAGTGTTGGGACCCTTCCCCGTCATCTCGCAGAAACACCACCCGCTACAGAGATACGGACACTGAGGCCCAGGGCATTGTTGTCCCCGCCACACAGCAAGGAAAGGACAGAGGCGGATGGCCACGGCCTGTGCCCTCAGCCAGGGCACCGGGCATCACAAGACAAATGCCCACGGCTCACCCTGACTGTTGCTACACTAAATATCTTAAGTGAATTGATGTGTTTAATCCTCACAACAGCCATGTGAGGTGGGTACTGCGAGCATTCTCACTGTGCAAGGGCTGAAACCCAAGCACAGCAAGGTTAAGTGCCTTGGCTGAGGACACACAGCCAGGAGGTGGGAGAGCTGAAACTCGAATGCAGGCCCGCCTGGCTCCAGGGAAGGTCTCACCACGGCCCCCAGGCACTCTGGGCTCCGCGGCATCCCTGGCTGGGGTGGGGCCCCTTGGCTTTTGGCTGGCGCACGGGGGACGCACCAGGCTTGGCCATGAGCCGGCGCAGTTCGCCCTCGATGTCCAGCTGCTGCTCCTCCAGACGCTGGTCCTTGGACCTGCAGCACAGACATGCGTCTTGAGGCCTGACTCTGCCGCCCCGTCCCCTGCCTGGCCCGCCCAGCCCACAATGAGGGCCTGGACCTGCCACATAGACACGAATCTGAGGCCTGACTCTGCCGCTCCTGTCCCCCACCTGACCCACCCAGCCTGTGCAAGGGCCTGGACCTGCCACAAAGACACGCATCTGAGGCCTGACTCTGCCGCTCCTGTCCCCCACCTGGCCCACCCAGCCTGCACAAGGGCCTGGACCTGCCACACAGACACGCGTCTGAGGCCTGACTCACCACCCGTCCCCCACCTGGCCCACCCAGACAGCAACAAGGGCCTGGACCTGCTGCAGAGACACGCATCTGAGGCCTGACTCTGCGCTCCTGTCCCCGGCCTGGCCTGCCCAGCCTGCAACGAGGTCCTGGCCTTCGAGGAGGGGCACGCGGCTGGGCTCTCACTTGTACATCAGCTCTGACTCCTGTCTCAGCAGAAGCTGCTTCTCGTGAATAAGCCAGAACCAGTCCACCATGAGGCCGTCCTCAGCATCATCTGGGGAGAGGAGCCAGCTGGGGCAGGGGGGCCCACCAGGGTTCACGGCCCCTAGCCCCAGGACTGAGGGTGTCTGTGGGAGTCGGGCTGGCCCAGGACCAGGCCGAAGCGCTCACCTCCCTCGGCTGCCCGCAGCCGCTTCTCCAGCTCCACACCGCGGAGCTCCAGGGCATCCAGCCGCCTCTCGATGTCCTGCAGCTGCCTCTGTATCTCCTCCGGGGAGAGGTAGTCGGGGTGCAGCTGGGGATGGAGGGGCGGTGAGGATGCCGGAGGGCTGGGCCCCTGCCCGGCTCCGGCTCCCCACTGCTACTCACCCTGACTGGGGAGGTCACCGTCTCGCCAGGTGGAGCAGGGACATTGGCCGGGGACAAGGGTCTCCCTGGAAAAGGGGCAGGGTGAGCCTCCGGGACCTCGGCCACCAGGCCCTAAGTGACCAGGACACAGCTTGGAAGGGTCCTGACCTCAGCACAGCTGGCCTCAGCCCTGCCTCCCTAATGACCCGCATGCCCACTGGGCTGCCCTGCCCCAGCCCCACCGACATCTGAGTGGCCTCCAGGCCCGGCCCCACCCTGCACCCTGCCCTCCTCCGGGTCAGCAACACCCAATCACCCCAGTCCCTCAAGCTGCCAGGAGCAGACATTCATGATCATCAGGAGTCTGTGACAAGGCGCTCTGAGACAGCTGGGGTCTCTATTCACGAGGGAGGGCCTAGGACACAGGGCTGGGTCCTTCCTCCAGGCTATCCCTCCATTCTAGGCCCTGTGAGCTCCTATGCATCCTCCAAAGCCCCAGCAGGCATTACCTCCTCAGAGGAAGGCTCCCTTCACCTACACTCCAAACAGCAGTAGCGTCTCTGGGGCTGACCTGGTTTGCCCTGAAGGTGAGGTTTCTTCTCCTCCTCCTTCCAGCTCTGCGCTCGGGCTTCCTGTTCAGGGGGCTCCGGACGAAGCCAGTTGTCAGAAACGTCAAGGCTGGCAGGGATGGCCAGTCTCCTGCGGCGGGGTGGGGAGGGGGACCTGGCTGCCCCCAGGTGGGGAGACAGAGCCACGTGTCAGAGCAGGGCCACTGGGAGCCTGGGGTCTGTCCCGGCACAGCCAACAGCTTGCTGGGTAGCCCAGTCATCCCTGTGCCCTGGGCCTCCCGACTGGCACAGGGTTGGCATCACAAGGCCTACACCCACGTCCTGCCCAACCTAGCCATGTCTCCCCAGGGGGCTAACCCAGGGGGATGCTGGCTGCTCAGGGTCACACAGGAAGTGGCACGAGAGCTGGATATGGATCTAGGGCACCTGTGAGTGCTGGGAATACACAGAGAGATGTGTGCACACACATGCATCACACACATGAACATGGGTGCACACACGAACACACATGCATCACACACATGAACAGACATGCACATGCATCACACATGCATCACACACAACACAGGTGCACGCACTGACACATGCATCACACACATGAACAGACGTGCACATCATCACACATACACACATGCATCACACATCAACACAGGTGCACGCACGGACACATGCATCACACACATGAACACAGACACATGCATCACACGAACACAGTTGCATACACATGCACACAAGCCTGCCCAGGACCACCAGCACCTCTGGCTGACCACAGCCCCTTCCCACACACCCCAGGAGGTGGCACTACAGGTCCAGTCCCGGGACCCCACCCAAGGGGGATGGCCAGCTAGGCACCTGGGGGCCCCTGGGTCCCGTCCAGCAGTACCTGGGAGGCTGGGTCCTGGGCTGGCTGGGCGCGGCGTCCTCTCAGGTCTCACGGGGGTCAGGGTGATGTGGACACTCCCCGCAAAGCTGCCTGAGACCTTCCCGGGGGTCTCCCCCGCCCTCAGCTCTGCCAGGGCCCGTGGTTCCTTGGGCTTCAGAGTCCTGGGCAGAAGGCATGAGGTCGGAACCCGAGCTACCAGCCCCAGGCCTGGCCCACCTGGAGGGGCTCCCAGGCCATGTGTAGAGCAGCTCGAGGGAGCAGGTGGCCTTCTGAGCAAATACCACCTCCCAGCCCACCGACTACACCTGCTGGGACCCTCCCACAGACACAGGTGTGTGCACCACTACCTGCTGTGGTGCGAACCAGACTCCAGGTGTGAGCTCTGGGCCCCCACGGGACCCACACACGGAGAGACTCCACCCCAGCTGCAGGCGTGGTGCGTGAACCCACACGGGGGCTGCCATGCCCAGGTGAGGCACACAGGAACACTGTCCCCAAACCAGGGAGAGTGGCCCCCATGTCCCTCAGGTGGGGTGACTTGGCCTCTGCTACTCACAGGGAGGTGCGTCCATCCCTGGATGGGCGTGTCAATCGGTCGATTACATACTCACTGCATTTATTAAGCACCTATGGTGTACCAGGCCCTGGGCCAGCCCCACCCATCCCTAACCTCTCAGCTGGGCTTCTCCTGTCCACGGGCTTCAGATTCGCTCTCCATCCTGCTGGCCCATCCTCCTGGCCTTCCTGGGGGCTGGCGCTCCCGTCTGGGTGGGAGGCAAGGGGTCTGGGTATAAGGAGGGAGTGCTGGGAACGGGGTGTCTGCAGGGAGGGCTGTGCCTCCCCCTGCCATCTTCCCACAGCCACTCCACCCTCAGACACCCCCACAGCCAGCTGGCCTGTGGGCATCAGGAGCACCACGCAGGGGGTCAGGGGAAGGGGCTCCCAGCTGGGTCTCCCGTGCTGTGTCCCTGGCGGAGTCTCTCCCTGCCTCTGGGCCTCAACTTCCCCTTCTGCCAAATGGGTGGGGACATGGCAGGGTGAGCCCCATGGACTCTGATCCTCTGTCCGCCTGTGCAAGGGGAACACCTGAACCACGGCTGCTCGTCTGTAGGCTTTCTTGGCTCCTGGGTCCTGTTCAGCAGGGCTCAGGGTGTGGCTTTAACCATGAGAACTCAGTTGAAGGGAAGGATCTGGAAAAACCCTTTGCAGCCCAGTGTGTTCTCAGCCCAGCTCGATAAAGCCGCGGGAACCTCTAGCTTTTTACTAGGCACCCCCAGATGGCAGGGACGGCCAGTCTCCCATGGTAAAGTGGGGAGGGGGACCTCGGCTGCCCCCAGGTGGGGAGACAGAGCCATGCATCAAAGCAGGACTGCCGGGAGCCTGGGGTCTGTCCCGGCACAGCCAACAGCTCGCTGGGTAGCCTGGCCATCCCCGTGCCCTGGGCCTCCCGGCTGGCACAGGGTTGGCCTCACAAGCCCTACACCCACATCCTGCCCAACCTGGCCATGTCCACGCAGGGGGCTAACCCCTGGTGGGCTACCCCCAGGTGCCTAGAAAAAACCTAGCTCCCTGTTCCCAAAAACATGTGAGCCCATAAAATAGGACTGTGTGGTCCAGGGAGGCCCCAGGAAGAGCTCCCAGCCCAGGAGGCACCAGAGCCCTCAGGACACAGGGCATCGTCACCAGAACACCATCTGGGGGGACGGGGCACAGGGCACCATCACTGGGACACCAGCGGGGGGGGTGGGGGACAGGGCACAGGGCACCATCACTGGGACACCAGCAGGGGGGTGGGGGATGGGGCACAGGGTGCTATCATCAGGACACCAGCCGTGGGGGACACGGCACAGGGCACCATCACTGGGACACCACCGGGGGGGGTGGGGGATGGGGCACAGGGTGCTGTCATCAGGACACCAGCCGGGGGAGCAGAGAGGGCATAGGGCATTGTCACCTGGACACAACCTGGGGGGCGGAAGGGGCACAGGGTGCTGTCACTGGGACACCACTGGGAGGTATGGGGCACAGGGCGCCATCTCCAGTACGTGGCGACACAGTGCCACAGCAACAATGCAATGTTGTCAAACAAAGCAACAGGCAGAAACTGCAAAACACCAGCGGAGAACAGGAGGCCTGACCACAGCAAAGCCAGGCCACTGTGAGCCGCCAGGTGTCACTGCCAGACTGAGCTGAGCGGGATGCTGCAGGGATGGGCTGCAGGCATCTGCAGGGGGTGCGGATGGGGTGGGGTGGGCTGGGCAACAGCGCCGGCGGACAGCATAGCCCTGAGGACGTTTGCAGCCACCGCACAGAGAGAGCGCCAGGACCCCAGGAGGCTGTGAGCAGGTGTCATGGAGGACAGAGACGGAGACGGAGACGGAGAGGAAGGCAGGCGGGGGTGATGGTGAAACTGGCCAGGGCAGAGTCCCAGAGCTGCAGGCCCCCATGGCCTCCTGCGTCCCAGCCCCTTACTCACCCTGCGTTAAGGTGGTGCTTTTACCCTTTGCCGTCGGCGCCTCTGGCTTCGGCCTGGAGCCAGCACCCACCCTGCCGACCCCCGAGGGTTTGGCCAAGCTCCTCCTGCCTGCCGGGGGCGACACGGATGCCTGAGAGGTGCTGCTCGTGCTCAGGGGGGCTGGCGGGTCCGTCCTTGAAGGGATGCCAAAAGCCTGGGGAGACGTGGGCTGTAATGGCTTGGCTAAGGGACTTGCTTGTGGTGTTTCAGTTTTGGGCTGAGAACTGGGAACAGGGGCAGTGGCTGGGGAGGGCCTGTAAGTAAAAGAGCATGTATCAGGCACAGCTGGATCCAGGCGCCCTCCCGCCATTACCCGAGGCTGCTCCTCCGCCTCCCCAGCAGCTTGCTCCCAATGCCCACCCTCCGGACAGAGTCCCACCATCACCCCAGGCCACCCTCCACCTCCCACCATCACCCCAGGCCACCCTCCACCTCCTACCACCACCCCAGGCCACCCTCCACCTCCCACCATCACCCCAGGCCACCCTCTACCTCCCACCATCACCCCAGGCCACCCCTCCGCCTTCCCAACCATCACCCCAGGCCACCCCTCCACCTCCCACCATCACCCCAGGCCACCCCTCTGCCTCCCCGACCATTGCGCCAGGCCACCCCTCTGCCTCCCTGCAGTTTGCTTCCAATGCCCAGCCTCTGGCAGCAGGATGGACGACCCTGGCAAGGGACGGGCCACAGACACCTGTTTCTGGCATGAGCATATGCGGTGGCTGATTCTACTCTCCCATGAAATCCAGTGTTGGCTGAGATTAAAACATCCGCCCCCGAAACACATCACACACCCAGGCTGGAAGCATCTGAGGCTTTGTCAGAGCCTGGGCCGGCCTGGGCTGCCAGGTTCAGTCCTATGTGACACAGTCTCTCCAGCCCGGCCAGACACACAGACACAGGGCCAGACATGAGGCCTCCGTGCCTTCCTGCTTTCCCTCGGGCACATGCCGGGAGTGAGGCTGCCAAAGCTGAGGTGGGGGCACCAGGTGCCTCCCCATCCCCGAGCCAGTGCCTCCATGTCCCCACCCCGCTCGACAACCAGGTTCCTTCCCCCCTTTCCCCCGACACCGGGCTCAGGGGTGACCAGACCTGGGCTGACCAGAGCTGGGCTCCTCCCCAGCCACACGTGCCCCCTACCCCCCACCTAGGAAGCACTTCCTGGAGCCCCCCACACTCATCCTCAGTCCCTAGGATGCCCTGGACACCCGCCAGTGCCAGGAGGAGCAGAGCGAACTCGCTCTTCTCCTGCCTGTGGCCACCCTGGAGGCTCTGGGCACCCCCTGCTGCCCAGTGCGGGGGCAGGAGGCAGCTCTGAGCAGGGGACGCCTGCACCACCCAATACGGGGCAGCAAACAGCGTTGCCAGCCAGACCACGACAAGTGTCCTCACTCGTTAAGTGACTGTACTTGGTTGAATGGTGACCCCTAAAATTCACGTCCCCTGGGAAGCTCAGAGTGTGACCTTATCTGTAAACCATCTTGGCAGCTGTAATCATGTTAAGATGCACCCACGCTGGGTTAGGGTGGACCCTAGTCCAACGACCAGTGTCCTTAGGAGAGACAGAAGAGGAGAAGACAGACAGAGAGAAGGCCACGTGGAGACGGAGGCAGAGACTGGAGGGAGGCGGCCACAAGCCAAGAACGCTCAGAGCCGTTGGGAGCTGGAAGAGACAAGGACAGGTCCACCCCTAGTGCCCTGGAGGGTGCGCGGCCCTTCCCACGCCTCGAGGTCGGACTTCTGGCCTGCGGAACTGTGAGGGAGTAGATTTCTGCTGCGTAAGCTGCCCAGGGAGGGGGTCTTTGGAAACTGATGCAGCACCCCCCTCTACCCGTCCACGTCATCTGCCCAGGGTCCAGGCACGGGCAGGCGCGGGGCCCAGGCATGGAAGGTCAGGGCCCGGCTGGACTCAGACAAGGTGACGCTCAGCCTAGCCAGTGTGGGTCCTGCTCGCAACCTGTCCCTGCATCTGTGAAATGGGCGCAGGGCCCTTGTGATCCAAGGGAGTGCGGCACCGTGAGCCCTGGAGTAGCAGCGCCACCTCACTGATGATGCCCTCGAACACAGGTAGACACCAGGTTTTCCGTAAGGACCCAGCTCCCACCATCCTGACCACAGGCACTGCCGTCCTGGCTCCTCCTCCCCATTCCCCAGAGGAGGAAACAGGCGGGGGAGGTTCAGTCCCCAGGACCGCGCAGCCAGGGAGGGGCAGCGCCCCCAAGCCCTCTGGCCTCCTGGGGTCCCTCTGGCTGGTGCATAGAGGCCACACCCCCCACGCCACTCACCTGGTGCATAGAGGCCGCACCCCCGGTCCCCACGCCACTCACCTGCCAGGCGTCGGAGCGCCAGCCTCTTCCAGCGCCGAGAGGGCCTGCCTGAGGAAGTTCCGTGCCTGCTCCTTGCTGCTGTCCCTGGAAGGAGCAAGTGACGACGCAGGACCCCTGCCAGCAGGGCTGGTGCCGGGGGGCACCGCTGATGTTTGGAAAAACTTATTCCGGGCCTGCTGGGTCCTGGAGGTAGATGGGGTCCAGGCTGGGGGATCCACGGTGGCTGCAGACGTGGAGCTTGAACTGACCGTGGTTTGAGGAGCTGCCACTCGGGGAGCTCCCCCGCCCTGGGATGTGGCCGGGCGAGGGTCTGGGGCACTCGGGGGCACAGGGGGATGGGAGGCGGCCGCTGCTGTGCGCTGGGCAGCTGACGACCAGCCCATCGGGGAGCTGTTGGTCACACGAGGGCGGACTTTCCCCTCCAGGGGAGTGGGGGCCGCGCAGCTCTCAGAGGGCCTGGCTGGGCTCCTCACACGGACGGATGCGGCGCTGGTGGCTGGAGGGTTGGGTGTGGTCGGAACGGAAGCCCTGGCAGGCGAGTTGCCCGCAGCAGGCTCCCAGGCCGACGGTCTGGCCTTGGGCTTGTTCGCCTCCTGGGCCTTCTGCGGGGAACAGGGGGTCCTGGAATTCACAGCCATGGCCCCTGGCCGTTGGGGGACCAGACCAGGCAACTTGGGGCTTGCAGAGGTAGTCGCAGGGAGGTGACTGGTGCAGACGAAGGCGCCCGGCTCTCCGGTGGCCCTGTAGGCCCCCGAGTGCAGCGTGCAGGAGCACTGCTTGCACCTGGGGGAGGAAAGGCACAGGAGCCCCAGCTCAGCTCCGCCCGCCCCGCCATGCATTCACCATGTGCTCCCAGAGCAGGCATTTCGGACTCCTGTGTCCACTCTCGAGGTCGCCGATTCATTCAACAAATGCCTCTTCTCAGGGTCCCTAACCCCTTGAGTCACAGACCCCACCAAAATCCTTGTTTGGGGTGCAGACCCCAGAGAGTACTCACGCATGTCAGCAGACACGCACCCACAGGCCACCCCAGGCCCCGCTTCGGGGCCGACTCACCCCGGCCCCACAGACTGGGGGATGGAACTGGGGGGACTGACCCACCCCAGCCTTGCAGAGCTGGGGACAGAAGGAGGGGGAACAGCTCATCCTTAAGAGCCCCCATCCGGTGGCAGGGAGGGGCTGGGGATGGCCACTGAGTAAAACACCCCAGTGGGATGGGCTGAGGCACAGGAGGGAGACCGAGGCAGTGTGTGTGGAAGGACACTCGGGAGGGCATCTCGACAGGGGCACTGGAGGATACTGGGGCTTAGTGAGGGGCCTCAGGCCCTGGGTGTCTGGGAACAGCAGAGCATCTTGGGCTCTCAGCAACAGAGCCCGGGGTGGGGAAGAGGGTGAGGAAGGAGAGCAGTAAGGAGAGAAGAGTGAGGAGGAAGCGGGGGGGAGGAAGGGGAGGAGGAAGAAAAGAAGGAGGAGGGAAAAGGGGGAGGAGGGGGGAGGGGGAGAAGGAGGGGGGAAGAGGGGGAGGAAGAGGAGGAGAAGGATGCGGCTGGGTGGGAGGCAGTGGGAGCTGTGGGAGGGTTCTGGGAGGGGAGGTGCATACTCAGGCACGTGGGTGGACAGCGGCCCCACCTGAAGCAGCTGCGGTGGTAGAGTCTCCCATCGGCCAGGTGCCGCTGTACCAGGTGCACGTGCTTACCGCAGATCCCGCAGATGCTGCTGACCGAGCTGCCCGATGACACCTGGCCATGGGGAGGATGCCAGCACCTCTCAAAGTGGCCGTCCACCCAGCCCTCCCTCCTGGTGGCAGCCCACAGGCGGCCAGAAGAGCCCATCTTTTTTTTTTTTTTTTTTTTTGAGACAGAGTCTCACTCTGTCGCCCAGGCTGGAGTGCAGTGGCGCGATCTCAGCTCACTGCAAGCTCCGCCTCCCGGGTTCCTGCCATTCTCCTGCCTCAGCCTCCCAAGTAGCTGGGACTACAGGCGCCCGCCGCCACACCTGGCTAGTTTTTTGTATTTTTTAGTAGAGATGGGGTTTCACCGAGTTAGCCAGGATGGTCTCGATCTCCTGACCTCGTGATCCGCCCATCTCAGCCTCCCAAAGTGCTGGGATTACAGGTGTGAGCCACTGCGCCCGGCCTGGAAGAGCCCATCTTTTTTTTTTTTTTTTTTTTTTTGAGACGGAGTCTCGCTCTGCCACCCAGGCTGGAGTGCAGTGGCCAGATCTCGGCTCAGTGCAAGCTCCACATCCCGGGTTCACGCCATTCTCCTGCCTCAGCCTCCCGAGTATCTGGGACTACAGGCGCCCGCCACCTCGCCCGGCTAGTTTTTTTTTTTTGTATTTTTTAGTAGAGACGGGGTTTCACCGTGTCAGCCAGGATGGTCTCGATCTCCTGACCTCATGATCCGCCCGTCTCGGCCTCCCAAAGTGCTGGGATTACAGGCTTGAGCCACCGCGCCCGGCCAAGCCCATCTTATAGATGGAGAACTGGCCGGGAGAGGAGCCGCCAGCAGGGTGCGGTCACACCCAGGTGGGAAGCAGCCCCAGTCCAGGGACTCTAGCCCAGCCCTGGGGAGGGAGCTGGGGCCTGATGCTAGTGGTCCTTCAGTCAGGGTGGGGGCCAAGAGACAGATTCCAGGCCTCCTGCCCCATCAAGGGGCATGGATCCCATCCAATTCCCATCATCCTGGGAGCCTGGAGTGGCAGTCCAGGGGGAGCAGGGGGTGCCAACCACCAGCTATTCACCTACCACCTTCCACCCCAACTCCACATATGAGAAGTGGGGGTGCCTGGGTTCACTGCAGAGCCGGTCTTGGGTATAGGGCATAGCCCAGCAACCCTTCTCTCCCCAGGAGGGAGGCGTCCTGGGCCCATCCAGGTTCAAGCTCTGTCCCACCTTTGTGTCCTCCCTGGGACTCAGTTTACCCATCTGTACAAAGTGGGATCACAACCCCTGGCTTGACGGAGCCCTGGAGAGCCGGTCCTGGTGGCTCTTGCTAAGACTGAGTCCTGGACTGGGGGAGCCGCATCCCCGCCCAGGTCTCATGGCTTAGGGGCTGTACCCCCTTCCGGGTCCCATGACTTAGAGGCCACACCCCCTCCGGGTCCCGTGGCTTAGGGGCTGCACGTAGTCCCACAAGCCCCCTCTGCACCCGCAGGTGGAAAACCCAGGGAACCAGGGGGAGGGCGGGCTGGGAGCTTACAGTCTTGGGGGGTGGACCCTCTGCACCCCCATTCCTCCTCTGGACCACAGGGTTTGTCTGGGCTGGAGATAGTGGAGGCTTCCGGGTGGGGGTAGGCGACGGCAGCGTGGCTGGCTGGACTGGAGCCTTCTTCTCAGACGGCTCCTCCTCAGAGTCCTCCGAGGCCCTCTTCACGCCTGCCATGCCCCCAACTGGCAGGAAACAAGCAGGGGTTGGGAGGGTCCCAGGCCTGGCTCTGAAAGGGTCTAGGTCCCTCCAGAGGTCCCAGTGCCCGGCACAGGCCTTGGTGCCTGGGGGAGACCTCGGGGCCCAGGGCTGGGGAGAGGTAGCCCTGAGGGCACATTTTTCTGGCACAGCCCCGAGTAGGTCCCCACTCCATCCCTCCCCACTCAGAGCCCCAGCTGGGGTCAGGGAAAAGGGACTTTTCTGTTTCTCCAGCAGGCAAGGCAGGCCCTGTGCCCAGAATGGTTCCGGGGATTTCTAAACCCTAGAAGAGGAATGTGGGGGTGGGGGGTGGGGAGCTGAGCTCTGCACACACAAAGGCGGGGCCTGTCCCTCCCCTGCCCAGTTCTCTCTGGGGGCCCCACCCTGCCAGGCCAGCCTGGCTTCGATAGGGTCCAAACTCAGGACAGATGAAGGCAGGCCCAGGAGCTGCCCCAGTGGGCACAGAAGCTCAGGGGTTCAGATGGGCAAACAGGCCCAGCGAGGGGCAGGGCAGCAGGAGCTGCTGGTACACCTGCCCCTCGGGGAAGCAACAGGGGCAGCTCAGCCTGCTCTGGGCAGGTGCCTGCGTGCGTCAGGGCCTGGGGATCACCTGCAGCAGGACGAGGGCCCCTGTCCCTTTTGGTGAACACACAGCCTGGGGCTTTGCATGGGGCTGGGGTTGGGATGGGGACGCCCGGCAAGGCCTCTCGCTGCTTCACAGCCAGTGCACAGCCCCGGTACCCATGCCAGGAGCCATTCTTGGGGGGGCTGGGCATGGACCCCAAAAGGTCCACAGGCCTGGGAGCCGGGCCAGGGGTGGGGGCCTGGTCCTGTCTGGCTCGGCAGGCGCAGCAGGGACTCACTGGGGGAGCGGCCGTGGAAGTAGTTGTAATACTGGGACACGTAGGTCAGGATACTCAGCCGGTCAGGCACCTTCAGGGCCACCATGTCCTCGGCGTCCAGCAAGGCCGGGATGCCCAGGTGCTCCTCGGCCACGCGGAAGGCCTGCGGGAAGTGGGAGGGGGTCAGCAGGGCAGCTGGGAGCCCCCTCCTCCTCCTCCAGGCCCCAGCTCACCTCGACTCAAAGATACAGTCTTGGAGCCCAAAGAGGCATGGGTTCGAGGCTGGAGCTGGGCTCCGCGCATGTGGCCTCCCCGCCTCAGTTTACCCATCGGTGCGGTGGGGGTCACGGTCCCATCTGCACAGGACTGAGGTCGCCAGGCCTGTGGGCGCTCGAGGCCCTGCCCGGGTGAAACCTCGGGGGATCCTGCCCCTCACCAGGAGAATCCCAAGCCCCACCCAACCCAGACTTATCCGGTCTTGGTTGCAACAGCTCCCCCCAGGAGCAGGGCTGACACCCACAGACCGCCGAGCCCTCCCCAGGGCCAGAAGGACACAAAAGCGGCCGTGCCCAGGGCTCCCAGGTAACAGGTGGGGGCTGCTGGAGGTTGAGACAGGGACACGATCCCCCGTGCTGTCCAGCCCAGCAGCCACTGGCCAGGACCATTCCTGCGAGTATGGGAAGTGTGGCCGGCACACCTGAGGAACTGGACTTGTTTATTTATTGTTATTTATTATTATTTTTTTGGAGGCAGAGTCTCACTCTGTCGTCCAGGCTGGAGCACAGCCTCACCTCACTGCAACCTCCACCTTCCGGGTTCAGGCGATTCTCCTGCCTCAGCCTCCTGAATAGCTGTGATTACAGGCGCCTGCCACCACGCCCAGCTAACTTTTGTAATTTCAGTAGAGACGAGGTTTCACCGTGAACGTGTCATTTTAGTTCATTTTAATTAAGTTAAAGCTTAAATTCAAACTGTCCCTGTGCTGGCCGGGCAGGTCTGACCGTGTCTTCAGTGCTGACTGCTGGCCCTGCTGAAGGCCAGCTCCAGGGGCAGGGACGTGGCCGGGGCCTGCCTGGCACAGCACAGGACATGCCTACAGGGCGGATGGTGAGTCTGCTGGTGCCTCTGCCCACGAGGGAGCATGGAGCTTATTTTGCAGCAGGGAAACTGAGGCTGCACACAGGGAAGGGCCTGGAAGCTGAGGAGGGCAGGGCAGGACTGGAATCCTGGCAGGGCCGGGAGGCAGGTCCCATGCGGAGGGAGTGGCAGCTGGCCCACTAGAACCCATCCACAGTCCCCCACAGCTATCCCCAGACCCTTGCTCTGCCTGGGCAGACTGGGCTGAGCCCCCTGCAGTGAAGTAGGGTACCCAGCCACCTCCTGCCACCTTGCTCCCCAACTGAGGAAAAGTGGGGACAAGTATGCCCTGGACACCAAGATAAGAGGCTATTTCTAGAACGCTAGGGTCACCCAGCCCAGGACACACTGCAGGGCCAGTCAGAGAGCCCCCGCTTCCCAGGCAGGACTCCCGAGGCAGACGCAGGGCCTGGGGGGGTCCCTTGGTCCCTCGGACGTGGGTGGGGCTTGGCGGGCCGGCTAAGCCCGCTGTGAGGCCAGGGCGGGGAAGGAGGAAGGGGCCGGTGCGGGGGCCACTCACCAGTTTATTGTTTTCATAAATGTTTTCCTTCTTGAGAGCACTGAAGTTTCTGGAAGATAAAAACACGGTGTCCAAAGCAGCTCAGAGTCCACGAAGGGAGGGGCTGGAGGGCCTCGGAGGCCATCTTGCCCAAATAGGAAAACTGAGGCCAGGAGCAGGGCTGTGAAGGAATGAGGTGGCACAGGAACACAGGTGGGCAGAGGCCAGGGCTCCCGGCCCTGCTCTGGCCACAGTGATGCTGCTGGGACCTGGTACGGCAACAGACGGCCCCAGCTTCACCTCCTGGGCCCTGGACATGCCGCCCCTCACCAGGGCTCCTGCACAGTCAGAGGTGGCAGGAAGCAGGCCCGGGAGGCGAGGTCACCAGCCCAGGGTGGTCCAGCACAGCTCAGCTCGGAGGGGACTACTCCCATCACAATGCTCGGTGACCAGGTGGGTCGCAGAGGCCTGATGTCCCCGGAGGACCACAGGGAACGGACGAGAGAGGCTCCCGGGGCAGGGGATGGTGCCACACGCAGAGAGGGCCAGCCACGCTGTCCCTGAGGGCAGGGCAGGCCCTGGATCCACCTCGCCCCAGCCATCATCACTTCTGTTGTCAGAAGGCTCACTGCTGTTCACCCTTCGGTGCCCTTCTCAGCGCTTCACAAATACCAACCTAAGGCTCACACCCAACGTGTGGAGCAGACACCGGTTATGACCACATCTCACAGAGACAGCGGCTCGGGGACCTGCCCCAGGTCACACAGCGGGGAGACAGCCGCCAAGGCCACGGAGGTTACATGGTTCTCTCTTTGGGTGATGAAGTGGCCTTCCTGGGTGCTCAGCAAGGGCCCAGCCTCACCCCCAACTCACACACTAGACCACAGGGATGCAAGCGTCCCAGGGAGTTCCTGAGGTGAGGTCCCCAGCCGGCCCGGACAGCAAGGCTCTCCTGGGGACACCAAGAGGACAGCCCCATGTGGCCTCCAGCTGGTCCTAGGACTCCTCATGGGCACCTTGGGAGGGTGCTCTGGGCAGAAAACATACCGAGATCCCACACAGGAGGCCACAGCCCAGCCCTAGGCCCTCCGACAAAACCCGCCAAGCTCCCAGCACGGGCTGCGGCTTCCGGAAGGGAGGGCTGGTTAAATCGTGATCTGGAAGCCGGGTGCAATGGCTCACGCCTGTAGTCCCGGCTACGCAGGAGGCCAAGGCAGAAGGATCGCTTGAGCCCAGGAATTCGAGATCAGCCTGGATAACACAGTGAGACCTCGTCTTGGAAAAACAAAAATACAGTGATCATGACCTGTCTGTCCACATTGCTGCCTGTGGGGTCCTGGACAGCAGCTGCTGCCACGTCAGCGTGAACTGGACTGTTCTAGAAGCTTCCTGGCCCCACAGAGGGAGCTGGGGCTACAAGCTATGTCCTGCCTCACCCCGGCCTGCATGTCTGACCCCAGCAAGCCTCAGTCTCAGGGCCTCAGTCTCCCTGTCTGAGAGGACAACTGCAGCTCCTGGTGGTGAATCTGATGGCCGTGGCTGCAGCAAACAGGAAGGCTGGGCAGGTCTCAAACGGAGAAGTGAGGACTGAGACCCCTGTGGCCACGAGGCCTGCACAGCCCTTGCCCGGCCCTGATCCCCATAAGAACGCTCCGAGGCCTGGACAGTGAGCCCATTTTACCCATTTCACAGATGGGGAAACTGAGGTCAGGCAGCTGCCATGCGGTGGGGTGGGGGGAGCGGGATGGGGGCTGCACGTTGCCCACCTCCCTCCTTAGGAAACCCCTGTCCCGTCCGCCTCCAGCCCTGCCGTCCATCAGTCCTCTGCTGGGCTCCCTGAGAACCCTCCACCGTTTCCAGCTTGGACCACCTCCCAGGTAACAGGTTTCAGATGGCAGGACCACCCGGCTGCACAGGCAGAGCTTCTGCACACAGGACAAGAGGGGGCGCGGACTCCTCCCCGGCTGGACGGATGACGAGGAGCCCCCTCCCTGGGCTCAGTGGCAGGGAAAGGGGTTTCCGTCTCCTCGGGCCTGGGCCGATGCCTCTGTCTGCCTGGGCTTGTCCCCAGATAGGGTGTGACTCAAGGGCACGTGGGTGGCTGTCTATGCTCAGGGACTCTGCAGCCATGCTGGGCCTCAGCCTCAGCCCCCAGAGCTTAGGAGCTGGCTCTCCCTCCCTCTCTTCCCGTCCCCAGCCCTTTGAAAGCTCAAGCTCTGCTGCAGACCTTCCCCAGCATCGCCGACCAAAGCTGCCGTGTCCCCGGAAAGAATGCCCCGATGACCAGAAGGGCCATGTCATTGGCGGCCAGCAGGGCAGTGTCACAAGTTCTGTTTTTTCTCTAAACAAGCAGGAGGAGGAGGAGGCCGTCTACCTCCCGCATTTGCTTCTGTCCACCCCAGGGGCCGGCAGCGGCTCTGTCCAGTGGGTTTCCTAGTAGGGCCTTCTCTCCCTCAGACCCATAGTCAAGCTCTCAGAGCTCCAGGCAGATTGGGGCACCCCAGGCCCTCTGGACACATCAGGGCCAGTGCCCACACAGTGCACAGGTCTGGGCTGCTAGTTCAAGTACCACGGCCTCAGGACGAGGTTCAAGCTGCATCCCAGGCGTTTGAGGCCTCTTCAACTGGGCTGCACCACCCTGGCCAGTCCCACAGCCACCACCTGTCCCGCCCCAAGCTCTTTCCCCAGGGCCAGCCCTCCAGCCTCCAGACCGTGGCTCCACGCTCCTGGCACAGAACAGCTTTTCCCGCACTCTGCCCGATGCACCGGCCAGGCCCTCCCTAGAAGCACCTTGCCTCGCAGAGCTCACACCCCCGGGATCCCTGAGCAGCTGAGCTCAGAGGCCCGATGCTGGCAGAAATCGCAACCAGAACCGCCTGGCAAGCCCACCGAGATATCGCCAGGTGCAGACCCCACTCGTGTCTCCAGGAGCCCGCCCGAGAAAATGACGCCCTGGAGTCCTAACCTCCAACTCCCCCCACGTGACCTCATTTGGAGACAGGGTCTTTCTGGAGGTGAGAGAATTCATTTTGTCTCCTTTGGAGATCAGAGAATTCAAACAGCGTTCTTAGCGGGGAGCCCTGGCCCCGTGACTGGTGTCCTCATAAAAGGGAAAGGTGGATGCAGACACACACTGACAGGGAAGAGGAGGTGAAGGCACAGGGCGAAGACAGCCACCCCACAGCCAAGGAGAGAGGCCAGACACGTCCTCCCTCCCACCCCCAGGAGGGCCCAGCCCTGCCCACACCTCCATCTGGGACGTTGGCCTGCAGAACTGCGGGAGGACACTTTCTGTTGTTGAAGCCGCCCGTTTGGGGGACCTCATGAGGGCAGCTTGAGCAGGCGGACACCCCTGGCCTTGCCGGACAAAAATGCATCAGCTTCCCCCCACTCCGCAGGTGACCAGCTGCCCATGGTGAGACGGCCGGAACTGGGACACAGCCCCAGCTACTGCTGCAAACCTGCAGGTTGATGGCCCGAGACATGGCACCCTCTGGGGTTTAATCTCTTATTTGAAGCCTCAGAATTAAAATCAGGTATGCCATGGCCCGGCTCCAAGACACGCACCTTGGGGCCAGGCACACAGTCGGTGCCCTATAAATGCTTGTGATGCATTTGTTCTGTGCTTGGTGAGATTTCTGTGGTAGTCACTTATTCTTTCAACACTGGCTGAATGAATGAATTTGCCGAGTCTGTGTCGGTCACAAGATTTGCCCTGGGCAACTCTCCGCCGTGCGTGCCCCTGCCCGGCCACGCCTGCCCCCACCACCCCTCTAGCTGACCCACGGACATCAACTTCAGCCCGTGCAGTCCAGCCGGCCTCTGCCCCGGCGCCTCTGGGGGCTCTTGGGAATGTATACCCCCCTCCAAATTCCTGGGTGGCCGACATCACACTGTTTATTTCCTGGAACAAGATTCGGCCATGGAGTGGGGAGGGCGGGTCGGGGGGGTGCACGACTTGGAAGGGAAGGAACACCAGCCGAGGCACATCCAGCACTGAGAAGGGAGCAGAGGGAGTGGGGAGAGGCAGGCGGACGGACAGCAAGAGCTGGAGACAGAGACGAAGACCCCAGCGAGATGGTGGAGGGAGGCCCAAGAGAGACAGGGACCAGACGGCACAGTCAGGACAGCAGAGAGGTGACTTGGGCAAGGAGCAAACCTCAGAGACAGTGAGGACATGGCCAGGCAGAGCTCAGGAGAGGAGGGAGTGAGCAGGGGACGGTGATAACTGGGGCGGGGGAGGCCGCAGAGCCCCCACCTTGCACACTGGGCCTCTGGAAGGAAAATGTGGGGCCCTGGGCAGTCCCCCTGCAGTAAGCGGACAGGCAGCCCCCTCCGGCGCCTGTCCTGGAGGGTTCCGGCCAGAGGCGGCCGCAGAGGTCTGGCTACAGGCCCTGGGGCAGGAACAGAAGGCCTCTGTCCACAAGCAGCTTCCTGCTGACCCAGCCCCGCGTGGGAGGGGAGGTCAGCCCACCCTCAGCTCCAGCCCAGGAAGCGAGGGCACTGCCTGGGAGCTTCTGAGTGGGGGCCTCTGCGTGAGTCTCTCCCCTAGCCCCCAACAATAGTGGTGTCTCGGGGAGCCCCACCACCCCCGGGAGTCACTGCTGGAGGGCTCCATGCACCGCACAGTGGCCGCCCCAGCCACCCCTACTTCCTGGCCCAGCCCTGAGCTGGCCTCCAGAGCTGCAGGGACCAGGAGAGAGTTCAAGGGACCCTGCCCTGGAACTGAGGGTGCAGCAGAGACCCAACTTCACAACACCCTCCCCAGACCTGGCCACAGATCCGACAAATGCCCCCAGCCACGACCCCCAAGAAGGAGGCCAGCAACGTTCTCCTACCCGCTGGACGGCTTCCTGCACCACGCACGCCTGCCCTCTCTCCAGCCCCACTCCCTCCCAGCCCAGACACGCTGTACCCACTGCCCCATCTGCTCAAGGGCTGTGCCTGGAGACCTGCTTGGGCCCAGGAGTGAAAGCAGCCAGCCCATGGCTGAGCCGCTCCAGCCCCGACAGGCTGACTGGCTGAGGGAGGCGAGGCAGGAGGTGGGGCTGTTTGTTCTGGGTGGTTTCTGAGCTCACCTGGCTGCCCGGCTGCCCTGTGGCACCAGTATGGAAACAGCACCTGGGGGCAGGTGCCCTGAGGCCTGGCTGCAGAGAACCCACAGCCGCAGGTGAGACGGGGCAGGTGGACACAGGCAGGCTGACCAGGCAGAGGACCCGTCCACCCTGCCACCTCCTGGTGGGCGTGGCTGGGCGATCCTGTTTCCTGGCTGTAAAGCGGAGATTCGGACACCGCTGTGTGCCTGTGGGGCTCCCCAGTGTGGTCACACATGGCTCAAGGATCCAGGACGTGGTACACAGGAACGCCCGGATCCCCGCCCCCTCCATCCGGGGTCAGTGAGGCAGAGGCAGAACCAGGAGCCCGGGTGCCCCACCTGGCTGGCCTGGCGCCCGAGCTGGTTCCTTCACAGCTGCTGTCCCCTGAGGGCCAAGCGGAAGCACACTCTGTGTGCAGCAGGAAGGACTAAGGCCAGACAAAGGGAAGGCCTTCCTGGTGGCAGAGCTAGAGACACAGAGACAGGACGTCCACCCTTCTGCTATCAAAGGGTCTTCACTGGAAGAGGAGGGGAATGAGGTGGCAAGGGCGGGGCCTCACACAGGGTCTGACTTCAGCGCTGCCTTGAGAGGACAGCCGCTCTGTGCCTGTCCTTCACATGTGTTTCCTCCCTTCCTGAAGACTACTGGGGACGGGGGGCACAGCCGAGGGCTGCATGAGGAGACCCCCACCCCAGCCACCACCTCACCCAGAGGCACGGCAGGGAGCAGAGGCTGAGGGCACAGGATGGGGGTGATGAAGGTACAGCAGGCATGTCCAAAGAGCCAGGGGCCAGGCGTGGGGGCTCACGCCTGTAATCCCAGCACTTTGGGAGACTGAGGCAGGAGGATCACTTGAGGCCAGGAGTTCAAGACCAGCCTGGGCAATATAGCCAGACCCCATCTCAATAAAAAAGAAACAATATGCTGAGTGAAAGTAGCCAGACATAGGCCAGACACAGTGGCTCACGCCCACAATCCCAGCACTTTGGGAGGCTGAGGCGGGCAGGTGGATCACTTGAGGTCAGGAATTCGACACCAGCCTGGCCAACATGACAAAACCCTGTCTCTACAAAAAATACGAAAATCGGCCGGGTGTGGTGGTGCACCCCTGTAACCCCAGCTACTTGGGAGGCTGAGGCAGGAGGATAGCTTGAACCTGGGAGGCAGAGGTTGCTGTGAGCTGAGATCGCACCACTGCACTCCAACCTGGGCTACAGAGCGAGACTCCATCTCAAATAAACAAATAGATAAAATAAAATTAAATTAAAAATAAGAAAAATTAGCCAGGCATGGTCCCAGCTACTCGGAGGCTGAGGTGGGAGGATGGCTTAAGTCCAGGTGTTCAAGGATGCAGTGAGCTAGGATGGTGCCACCACACTCCAGCCTGGGCGACAGCGCGAGACTCCAACTCTGGAATAAAAGCAAAGGGCTCAGGCACCTGTACGAGTGCGTGTCCCCACACCCTGGTGCACACCCAACCCCCATGACACTCCTGATTTTCCATCAGCCAGGGTCTGCAGAGGCCCCCACACCCCAACACCTGTGGAAGCCTATACTAGCTTCCTCCTGCTGCTGTAACAAATTTCCACAAACTCCAGGGCTTAAAACACCAGGAATTGCCGGGCACGGTGGCTCACGCCTGTCATCCCAGCACTTTGGGAGGCCGAGGCGGGCGGATCACGAGGTCAGGAGATCGAGACCATCCTGGCTAACACGGTGAAACCCCGTCTCTACTAAAAATACAAAAAATTAGCCGGGCGTGGTGGCAGGCACCTGTAGTCCCAGCTACTCGGGAGGCTGAGGCAGGAGAATGGCGGGAACCAGGGAGGCGGAGCTTGCAGTGAGCCGAGATCGCGCCACTGCATTCCAGCCTGGGTGAGAGCGAGACTCCGTCTCAAAAAAAAAAAAAAACAAAAAACAAAAAACAAAAACACACCAGGAATTTGTTCTCTCACGGCTCTGGAGGCCGGACTCCGACGTCAAGGTGTGGGCTGGGCCTTGCTGCCTAAGGGGGCTCTCGGGGAAGATCTTTCCTGTCTCTTCCACCCCAGCCCAGGACACCCTTGGCTTTTGGCTGCATCTCTCTGATCTCTGCCTCCAAGGGCACATGGCCTTCTCCTCTGTCCTGTACATGGGCACCTACTAAGCTCCTATCATACCTACTGAGCCCCAACTGAAAGGCCCTTATCTGCAGAGCTCCAACCATGTGCTGGTATCTTCTGAGCCCAGCTCCAGGCACTGGGGATGCAGCAGTGAACAAAACAGAGCCCCGAGCCTCTGCAGCTGACAGTCCAGTGGGGACAGACGGATAAGAACCAAGTCAGCCACAGCTTGGGCAACTCCACACCTGCTGGAGCTGGGGGCAGAGGGCCTCCTCTCTCTCCTGCCTCCTTCCTGTTCTGGCCTCTGCACTCTCTGTAGCCACCCTGAGCTTTTATTCATTTACCTGTTCCCTGTCTGTCTCTGTGACCAGAACATTGCTCCCTGCATCTGGAGGCTGAGGGGAACAGGTACAGGACTCATGCTGGGTACACAGCAGGCGCTCAATAACTGTCAGTGCACTGAGGAAATATACAGCGCCCACTGTGCCAGTACATGCACACACATGTGCACCTGTGCTCACCCCTGGGCATGGCATTCAGACACACCTGAGCCGGCAGGGAGTGGAGAGAAACTCCCCAGGACCAGAGGGCCCCAAATCTCCAGTGACACCAGTGATCCATGAAGCTGGTGGTCAGCAGCCAGCAGCAACAGCTCTCCCCGCCCTGAAGGCTCTTCAGGCTGGCCCCGGCTTGGATGCCTGGGTTCAGCCACCAGCCAGCCTCACCCAGGACCCTGAATCCCCGGGGGTGGGGTCTTGCCTGCCTTCCTCCCCATTCCAGGTTTCTCCCAGTCTCCAGGTCCCTGGCCCTCTCCTAAGCTCAGCGTCAGGCTTTCCATGTGGAAGCATGTACCCTGTGCCCAGCATCTTCTGCCTGCAAGGGCAACAGAGGCACGTTCCTGACGAGGGAGAGCGGCTGCTGCCCAAATGCCACGTGGAGGCCTCCGACAGCTCCACAAATGCATGTCACAACCTCAGGGCAGGGGTTGAGGCTGTTGCTCAAGACCCCAGCTTCCTGCAGAGTGGGACCGGCGGGACAGTGTCCAGGGCACAGATGAGGAGCACCAGATCTGCACAACAGGCTGGGGCTGTGTGACCTGAGCAAGGATCCCTCCTCTTAGTTTCGGTTCTCTGGTCTGCACAGCTGGGGCCTGACAGAGGCCAGCATCCCCAGGTGCTGCCTGTGGCTCCTCCCAACCCTGAGACCTTCCCACCAAAAACACACCCAGGAGAATGCTTTGCCCAGAAGGTGCCTGAGCTGCAGGTGGCCTTTGAGGGCCCCCCTTCCTGAGCCTCTGTCCCCCTGCCCCAATGCACAGATCTCTGTCCCAGCAAGCCTGGTCCCAGTCATTCGGCCAAAGAGCGTTTGCTGAGTGAGCAACCGACAGAGCAGATCCAGGCTCGAGCCAAGATGCAGCAACGGGCAGGGCCAGCTGCCCAGCTACACACACCAAGACCCTCCTGGGGGGAGACAGCCTAGTCCTCATCCCCTGCCACCTCCTGCTGCTCCCAGAGATGGGGGCTGTTCTCCATCTCCGGCCCTATCACCCAGGGCCTCAGAGGCCCAGCCGGCAGCAGCACCAGGGGTCTGGGGGCTTCCTGCCCTGCACTGGCCGCTCCCCCACAGTGGCCCTGGCTGCATCCCCCCAGGGGCCTGAACAGGATGGGGGAGGGGCAGTGCCCACACGAGGGGTATCCCAGGGACCCCATCTGGTGGCCAGACCTCAGGGCAATGAGGGCCTCAGAGGGCCCAGAGAGGCAGCTCTGCCCGCCTTTCCCAGGGACACAGAGGGGGACTGGACTGAAGCCAGGGCCCAGGAGCCGCCCTGAGTCACGGCTGACTCAGCTGGCGGGCGGGGGAACCCAGCTGCATTCGCTGTCCGGGCACACAGGCCACTAGAGACAGCCTTGGGGGGCGCACGGTGGGCTGTGCCTGCAGTGCCCATTTCCGCCCAGTCCCATGCCTCGGCTCCCCATCCCCAGCCGCCCGGGCCTCAGTTTCCCCGCCCGTGTCGGCGCGCAGCCGAACAGCAGAGGGGTCAAAGGGCGCCGGGCCGGACTCACATGAGGTCGGGCCGGTGGCGGTGCAGGATGGCGCAGAAGGCCAGGCCGTCGCGGAACGACGTGGTCATGTTGCAGATGTTCACGTCGCGGTAGCCCTCGCACTGCTGCCGGCACCACTGCTGCAGCGCCCTGATGGCCGCCATGTGAGCGGCTCGCCCGCCGCTCGGCGGAACCGCCCTCCGACACCTTCCCGCGGCTGTACCGCGCCCGCCCGCCCGGTGAGACAGACGCTGGGGCCGCTACCGCACCGCCAGACCCGCGGCGCCCACTCCGAGCTGAGCCGGACTGAGGGAGACAAGCGCCGGGTCCCGAGAGAAGCCGAGCCCGGCCCCGCCACCGCCGGCCCCGCCTCCTGATAGGCCCCGCCCCCAGCCGCCAAATCCTGCCTCCTCATAGGCCCCGTCCTTACACCTCCCGGCCCCGGCATTGGCTCCCGCCCAGGCAGGCCTCACCTCCCAGCAGGCCCCGCCCCCACCCGCCTGGTCCTGCCTCCCGACAGGCCCCGTCCCCAGCCGCCGGGTCCTGCCTCCTGATGGGCCCCGTCCCCACGCCTTCTGGCCTCGACACAGGCACCCGCTCCAGGCAGGCCCCGACTCCTGACAGGCCTCGCCCCCAGCCTCCAGGTTTTGCCTCCTGATAGGCCCCGTCCCCACGCCGCCCGACCGCGGCACAGGCTCCCGCCCTGGGCAGGTCCCGCCTCTTGGTAAGTCCCGCCCCCACGCCGCCGGGTCCCGCCCCAGACAGGCCCCGCCCCCCGCCGCCTGACCCCTACCCAAGCCCCGCCCCGCCGCTGCTGGCCCTGACCTCCAACCGGGGAAGGGGTGCGGGCTGCTTGGTGGTCCTGGCGTTCTGGACCCCTGCGGAGACCTGGGATTTTCTTTCTTTTCGCCGCCCCACCTCCCACCACCATGAAGAAGAAGCAGGAAAGGCCAGTTGACAAATGTGGACACTGAGGCTCGAACAGCCCTGCCCTGTCTGGGGCCTCAGCCCTGGGAAGCCCGGCCTCCCGGGGAGCAGCAGGCGCCCTGTATGTCAGGGTTTCAAACGACGTCCGCATCTGGTTTCTCTTTCCAGGCCACTACATGCCAGCGGGGGTTCCAGGCAAGGCAGAGGTGAGGCCTGGGCATTGCCAGAGGAGAAACTGAGGTCAGGAAGGGGGCCATGGAGCCGGAGTTGCACAGCTGGCCTGTGCTTTCCTTCTGGGGGCCTGTGGGCAGGATCTATTCCTGGAGCAGGAGATTCCTCAGGCTGACCTGCAGGGTAGTTCCCAATTTTCCACTCTGAGATGTGACACAATAAGGAAAGTCCCTCTGGTGGGGCCTTAAATTATCCCAGACTGGCCCCTGGCCCTGTTCTCCTTGGGGAACCTTGTCTGTGGCCAGGACTGGACGAGGGCGGAATCACTGACACCAGCCATGTGAGGGGGCCCTACCCCGCTGGCTGTGGGGCCAGGGCTTGTCCGGGCAGGGCCTGCAGGAAGGAAGGTGTTTTCCCGCAGTAGCCCCTGGCAAGGAGTCAGGGCAGCTTCTCCGTGCCCCTTGGGAGAAGCAGAAACTGAGGTCTTCCAACCCCATCCATGCCACTGGTGCTGTTCCAGCTCTTTCTGAGGCTGGGCCCTGGTGAGACACCGTAGTATGCATGGCTGGCTGCCTGTCAGTGAGGTCTGTGTGTAGGTGGTGAGCTCCCCGTCACCAGGGGCATGCAAGCAGCTGCTAGGCAGAGAGCCCTTGTGGCCTGGGATTGTGGCTGGCCCTAACCACTGCTCCGCCACAGCCCCTGACCTGTGGATATCGTGCCAGGACAGCTGGAGCTGGTCCTGGCACCGGGTTTTCTTGACTCCTAGGGCGGCGGTTAGGAGAACCGGAAAAGCTGAAAAATAAGGGAAAGATCAAGAAGCAGAAGCAGCGGGGTAGTGGGAGGGGGGAGTTAGTGGGGGATGGGGGACATAGGGGTGGAGAGGCACTAGGGCCCAGGTCCCTTACAAGGAGTGGCATGGGAAGTGGCCTGAGTTTCACTTTCATCGTGAACTTTTACTGCTGCACGCTTAAAAAGCCATCTCACTGGTCACCCCGTGGCCCATCCTGCACGGCCCCCCTCTGGCACCAGTGAGCTGGGAGGCAGCATTTGTGGCATTTCCCCACCAGCACCTCACACAGCACGTCCCTCCAGGGTCCCCGAAGCCAGGAGCCAGGACACCCCCAAACAAATGGCCCCTTCTCCCCACTGCCCACGGCTGCCACCCTCCTATCCAGACCTGTCCCCCTACCTCTGCCCACAGGGCTGCCTCCTGCCCCTCTGGCCACCAGAGTCCACCCTCCCCAGCAGCCCGAGGGATCTTTCTAGAAGGCCTGACCAAGCTCTTCCCCTGCCAGGAGCCTCCCAGGCTGTCCTTCGAATAAAGTCCAGGTTGCTTATCAGACCTTCAGCAGGCTTATCACGCCGCATCTCCCCGGCCGCACCCAGCCACACTGACCCCAGAGCTTCGCGCCCGCACTGGCCCCCAGCACCCGCCCCTCCTCCTCGTCCTCCAAGACCCCCACCCTGAAGCCCCTCAGAGTCACCGAAGGCTCCCGGTGTCCCCATCTGTGCTCCCCAGGGCTGCCATGTGGACTCTGTCTGCACACGCCTCCCCCATCCAACACGGAGCCTCTGCCCGGGGAACCTGCTGCCTTCCGGCCTCACTGGGAAACTGCCTTCTCTTGGGCTCAGTTTCCTCATCTGCAAAGTGACATCATAGCCCCCTTCCACCAAGGATTACCCCATGACCAGGCACACAATAAATGCAGCATCATGTACCCAGGGGTGGGGAACAGGTAAGAGCGGTGTGAGCTCAACAGACCCCAGGACGGGGACCCAGATGGGGGCCCAGACTTCAGGCCCTTTAGAAATGATGATGACCTCAGCCTGAGACCAACAGAGAGACAGAAAAAGGGGAGAAAGAGAGAGGAGAGGAGAGAGAGAAGATGGAGCAAGAATCTCCCTAGGAAGGACCATGAACTGAGACCTGGAGGCTAAGTAGGAATCACTTTGTTGGAGAGGAAGGGGAAAGGGCAAAGGGAACAGGAGTTGCAAAGGCCCTGCGGCAGGAAGGAAGACTTGAAGGTAGGCTGGTGTCGCTGGTGCAGGGGACCAGGAGGAGGCGCGGGGGCTGCGGGAGGAAGGGGTGCAGGCAGCAGTGCCCAGCCAGGTCCCTACTCCAACCTTTGCCACCAATTTCCATGCCTACATTCTCATTTGATACTTAGCCACCCTTTAAAAGTGGCTCTGGGCCAGGTGTGGTGGCTCATGCCTGTAATCCCAGCATTTTGGGAGGCTAAGGTGGGAGGATCACCCAAGGTCAGGAATTTGAGACCATCCTGGCCAACATGGTGAAACCCCGTCTCTACTACAAAATTACCTGGGCGTGGTGGCACATGCCTGTAGTCCCAGCTACCTGGGCGGCTGAGGCAGGAGAATCGCTTGAATCCGGGAGGTGGAGGTTGCAGTGAGTTGAGATCGCACCACTGCACTCCAGCCTGGGTGACAAAGCGAGACTCTGTCCCCACCCTCCACCCCCTAAAAAACTGACTCTGGGCCAGGTGTGGTGGTTCATGCTTGTAGTCCCAGTTACTCAGGAGGCTGAGGCGGGAGGATCACTTGAGAACAGGAGGCTGCAGTGAGCTGTGATCACACCAGTGCACTCGAGCCTCGGTGACAGAGACATTAATGTGTGTGTGTGTGTACACACATACATATATGGGTGTGGGTTGGCTGTGGGTTTAAAACCCAAGATGGGCTGGGTGCAGGGGATCATGCCAGTAATCCCAACACTTTGGGAGGCTGAAATGGGAGGTTTGCTTGAGGCTAGGAGTTCAAGACCAGCCTGGGCAAAATAGCAAGACCCCACCTCGACAAAAAATACAAAAATATTAGTCGGGTGTGGTGGTGCACACCTATAGTCCCAGCTCTCTGGAAGGCTGAGGCAGGAGGATTGATGGAGGCTGAGAGGTCGAGGCTGCAGTGAGCTGTGATCATGTCACTGCACACCAGCCTGGGTGACAGAACAAGATCCTGTTTATGATCCATAAAATAGGTGGTTCTATTGATTCTGCAGCTCAAAAAACAGGTTCTGAGAGGAGAGGAGGAGAGGGGAGGGGAGAGGAGAGAAGAGGGAGGAGAGAAGGCCCCCTGATTGGCCTGCCCTCTCAGGCAGCGGCCCTGACGCTGACACCAGGTGAGGTCCGGGAGAAGGTCAGCCCAGCTGGTGTCCTGCCTGCGTGGCCACCCTGGTCCAGGACAGGACTTCCAGACCAGATGACCTCAGTTTCCCCACTTCCAGCCTCCACGTGTTCTGACCCCCTCAAAGACATGGAGGCAGGGAGAAAGGGGTCTCTCAGCCCATCAGGGTGGCAGGGCCCATGCTGAGGACCGAGGGAAGACACGGCCCGAGGCATCGTTCATTTCAGTTCAAAATGTCCACCTGGGCTTGCATTAGCTTAGCTCCTGGAGGACGCGCTGGCTGCTGGGTCCGGAGGGGCTGCAGAGGTGGGGACTCGAGCACCACAGCTGGAGGGGTGGGGTGGGCTTATGAGGGGTTGACTCCTTCCACCAGTGTGGACTCAACCCTGAACGTCACCTGACCAAGGCTGCTGGGCCAAGCTAGAACGGAACTGGCTCCTTGAGTCCGGGAGGCGGGGGCGGTTTGGGAATGCAGAGGGCGTGAGAGAAAGAACCAAGGGAGGTGTCCTGGCTGAGGGGCGTTTCCCGCGGGACTTCTCAGAGCCTTCATCGCCTGATCTGCACCTCCTCTCCCCCGGCGAGAGGCCACACTACACAGTGGTTCCCAAACTGACTTGCCCACAGGACCCCTGCGGACGGTCGTGGGGGACCACGTCGGCCCCACTGCAGAGCGTGGAAGGGACGTCGCCCTCCTCCCCACCCCAGAGGCTGCTGTCAACCAACGGCATCCCTACGGCCCCCGGCAGGACAGGGAGCGGGAAGCTGTGACACCCCATTTTAAGGGGCCACCCATTAATTAATTAGGCTCCATGAATAATGCATGCCACCTTGGGTATATTAATAGCATATTTATATGGTGTGCTATGGGGAGTATACATTCTCATCTGAACACCTCACAAATAATTCACGACGCGGCTCCTTCCCCAGCCTCCAGGAGAGCCTGGCCGGTGCTGCGGCTGGGGCCACTGGGCTGCTTCCCACAGCCAAACTCTACGTTTCATTATAAATGGCTTTGCTGGGCATGTCGGTAACTCGTGCATTTCCATCCACTTTATTATTAATGGCTTTCCTGAACTGTAGCAGCCCGACGCCGTG